AAGCAATGAAGAACACGCTGTTGCAAGCCTTCAACGAAGGTACGGGGCTTCATGATCCGCTAATCGACTGTCTACATCACAGTCAAAACCATTGCCATCACCACCACCAGTGGAAGGGAAGGAAATTTCCACAGCTACATTTACACCCATTTAAAATATGCGGATCAGGTGGAAAGGGAAATAAGGAGGGATGTGAACTACTACTGGGTGTAGAGAGGGGGGACGCCAGGGCGAAGGAAGCGGTTTATGGTTTCACCGAACCTTTCCTTTTGTATGCCTTGTGACATAGAATGCATAATTCAGCAGAGATCGGGGATATAGGCAATGACACTCCTGAGATGAGGGGGATGAGTGCGACACGAGACTCACTTGCGCAACGCCTTCACAACAGGTCACGTGAAGCCACCTGACCGGTGAAGTAGCTTGCTCAATACCTGTGTGTTTGTTTAGCATATGCTTATGAGATAGGGTATGGATGATCTGTCACTTCTATTCCCCCCTTTCCTCAACCCCCTCAGTTTTTTCTCTCTTTGACAAGTTACAATGACTCAGAAAAATCAATTAAAGGAGTCGGGACCAGTCACTTCATTATTTCAGCATCTGCCTCCATTCACTCTCAGTTCCAATCAGTGGTTTAAAACAGGGAGAAGTGTAGCGCATCAGACTTCTGTATAATATTTTCTTTGAAAAGGACTTGCGACAGATATCTTCATAATCCAGTAGGCCACTGAAGATATTTATAGGTCTACTCAGTTATGAAATTTGTAATGCAATAATTGGTGAGCATCGAGAATACGTTTATCAATGCATTGTTCACATTACGTGGGATGCCCTTGTCGCTTAGGAGAGGAAAATGTAGATTATAGAAAGGAACGTGTAGATTTCACTCTTCTGTGGCCACGCAAGTTGACCGATGACGTACAGGAGGATGCATAGGCTATGGACCTGCCGTCACCTTGACAGTGAGGAGAAATGATGCCATTTACTACACATACTTAACAGTCGGTGGTGCTTTCTTTCTTTCATAACGTAAAGCTTAGCCTTAAATTGTACAAAATTTGCACTTTTGATTGATATTGAACAAAAAGTTGTCTGGGATAAATCGTAACGAGAGAAGTAGATGCTATAATGCCTTGAGAGAAAACTCTAACGAAAAACCAAAGGACCCATTTTTTCCTTTTATAAGGATGGTAATCTAGAAAATTGTGCTTTTATCAGTGGAACATAAACGTTTTCGAAGGAAGAATAGCCGACAAATTACGAATGATTTACACATTCATGTTTTAAGATTAAGACTGGTTGTCGTTGCAAATAAGGGCACTGCTCACAGCTTCAGGAGGTAGCATAAAAATACAATGCTTGCGGCATTTCAGCTGTTGTAATTGATTTGCAGAAAAAGGGGAGCAATCAACTCCGATGTCAGCAGGGAAGATGTTCATGTCCATTTTAATGTCTTTGCCATTGGTAATGGTAGCAAACACTTGCTACGATAATTGGCGAGAGTGTTGCCGTTACTTGTGTTGTTGTTGGAGATTGTTGCTCGTTGATTATTGTCTTTGGGAAAGAAGTTGATGGCTGTGAGTTCGGTTATTGTGAGAAGATAGATGTGGAGGTGGAAAAGAAGGATGGCTGCAAAAGTGTTAGTGCTGATCTTGTGACACGTAGACTGGGTGCTCGGTCAGTCGGCTGATTAGATATGCTGAGACTGTTCATCGCCGCTATTGTGCGGTCCATAGTAGAGGAAGTGCATTGGAGTCGAGTCAACAACATACAACTGAACAGGGGCAATTCATCTGAATACAAATGCAGTCGTGAACGGATTGCAATAGTCATAATTGAATTTTAAGTAAATTAACTACTTCATACCAACTTACTCTAGTGGTAGTATTGGAGGATCGTAAAGACGACTTCTTCAGTCGTGGCTTTTAACCTATGGGACAGACAGAGAAAATGCGCCAAATCCATGTTTGTTACTGTTCGGGGCTCTTAAAGGCATGCATCCCAATGGGTCATCGCTTTATCCAGTGCCTTATTAGTTCCATCCGGTAACGTCTGATAAGAGCAAGGATTATTGTATTCACCAAAGCCTTTTTTTGGCACTGATGCTACGACCAATTGTAGCGATTTGAGTGTTACTCCTCATTACCTTAAGTTTACTCTCTTTTTATTCTTAGAAGATGATAGTAAGGTCAGCGAATATTTATGAGAAACACGCTTTTGTGATGAGGGAAAACACTGTCCAAAACGATTAAACCACTTGTGCTCTCACTGTGACGATTCTCATAGCCTTCTTCTCACACCGAAACAATAGATTATGCGTCAAATTAAACAGTCAATTATTGAAGATGCTTGTTATATCATTTTGATTCATAACAAGGTTTTCCGCCATGAATGATCAACCACACACGAGAATGGAACCGTCGTCGAATGAAGGAGCTGCAATCAACTCCCGTTGCTTTGATCAGTTGAATGCCTCACAAGGCCCTGTTACGCCACCCACGGCAACTCAGTTCAACTGGGACCTCCAAAACACATCACTGTGTTGACATCGACACAAAGAAAACGTGATTTATATCTGATTTCGTCTATCTAAATGTCCAAGTTTAGAAGGGTAGGGCATACAAATTTATCGCTTAAAGAATTGACAAAAATCAGTTGGGGAAAGTATTAGGTTAATAATTAATTCCTTTGTTTTGTACTTGTAATGGTACATTCTGTTATACAAATTATGAATGCCCACTGACATTGGTTTAAAATGCCGTTATAGTTGCAGATTAATGGACTGGCAGTTAAAATACGAAGGACGAGGGAATGAAGGAAAGATCTCAGGGATTAGCGCGCTATTCCATGGCTCATCGAGTGAGAGATGTGCAATAACCGCTGCCAATGGCCGTGACGCAAAAAGCCTTGCGCAACCTTACATCTGACCTCGCGACCATCCACTCATTCTCCCGGTCCAGGTTTAAGACTTCCGCAAAGTTCACTCCATTCATCAGAACCACTGTAACCCAGATTTACTACCTGGCTCTAGCTGATGTACATCGGTACTGTACTCAAACCCTGAAGGCTAATCAGAAGTTGCGTTCCATTTTTCCTGCATTTAGGTTAGCTTTTCTACCCACGATAATTTACTTGTCCTGTCAAACGAAGAAAACCTCGACCCCTCCTTTATAGCCATTTGTATTTTCATCTACTACCTGAGATACACAATACGAATTTAGACAGGCGAAGTGGCTGACTCGGCTGTCAAAATGTCCACCTGCCCACCTCGATCGGCCTTCTGAATCCACGTGCGTATACTGTTAAGGTTGCACACGATGAGTGTTAGGTCTGTGCCATCTGTTTGGCTCGCATCAGGTGTGGACTAATGACTAGACCCCTCCTCCACTTCCACTTTTCTCACCTTCAGTGGCTCGACGCATCGGCTCATTAGGCCGCATGTGATATTCGAAGTTGATGCGTAGGACATTTATGTTGCCAATTCCATGTGTCATGTCTGACCTAGCAGGGATGTCCTACCCAGCCAAATACACGCCTTCTGACAGTGGATACTAGAGGTGTCAAACTGCGGTCGCAAGATGTGGCCCCAATCCCTGTGCAGTGTGATAACTCGCGGATGTGATGCTTTTTTAGGATTATTAAGCAAAGGATTTGTCGTCGTGCCTCAAAGATGGCGAGGGTGGTGGTATTAATGTTACTTTGCCGACTAATGATGCTCCACAGATGGTGACACCTAACTACTGCGTACGGTTAGTTGCAATGGTGCTACCCACGTGGGGATACCAAACAAACACGATCCATCCAATGAGAGATTATATGTCCTGATTCAAATTACCAGCTTCCTGCCATCATCTCGTCCAACACGTTTTTTCGCTTAAAAATGAGAGACAAGCGGTTTAAACATACTATCCTGTCTCAAAGTACCAAGCTTTTGTAAGTAGAATATATTTTGCGCATGTTTCCATCAACATTCCATTTTTGTCGTGTTCTATTCACAGTCTGAACTACTTCCACTTGGTAAAACATAATGCATTATTATTCATGATACCACAACTAATCGGGAAAAAGTTTCAACGATAAGAACACATTAGGTCATTTCGAGAGAATACAGAGCAGAATGATGAATGTCAAGTGCAGCACTTTTCTTCCCACTCTACGACAATACAGTGCTCCCCAGTGCACCTACCGTCTATAGAGCTGCTCAATTCAATAATATGATGAACTTGGATATCAAACCGGTGCTGATCACCTCAAGATGTTAAGCTTGAGACCATTCTATCGATATTGATGTCCACACTATCGGTTCTGAGACGCATTTTCCAAGTGCACAACGATTCTCCAAACCTTCACACAGTCTCTCTGCATCCGTATTCCCACGAATCTAAAGTGATCATGGTAGCAACTTTGTAATTAAACAGTTCATTCATGCGGAAACTCAATCTGACGTTCTAGCCCTCAAGCCGTCCCTGAAGACGTAATAAGGCATACCATGTCAGAAGCGAGTTCTATTACCCATGTATGGAAGGGCTCAGTCTACTCAGTCTCAGCAACAGTCTACTACTGTGACATAATGGGTTCATGAGAGAGGATACCATGGGAGGTAATAACAACAGTCGGGTGATTGCAGCATCCACTTTCTGAAGAATAAGAAGTGTCGAAAAGTAGATTGATCCCATGGCATCATATAGCGGAAATAAAAACTATCGAAGAGGAAACTAGGTGTTACATGAACATCAGGTATAAACAGTTGAGGTTAGGCCTCCATGTCTCCCTGCTACGCTTCGCTTGTGCGGAGCTGTTAGTAGGGTTCACGCCGTTGTAATCAATGGAGGATGGTTGCACGAGAGAGGTTGATGGTGGCGCAGGTAACTCGTGGACACCAGTGTCACAAGAGGTGATGCGAGATGTTGAAAC